TCGTCAATATAAAGCCCTCGATGAAAAATATGGTAAAATTTGCAAATGACAATACCCTAGCAGCTGAAGGTATTAGTGATGTTATGATTATGAGGAAAGATGGCAAAAGGTCAGTAATCTCCAATGTGTTGTACATACCAGGCATGAAGATCAATTTGCTCAGTATAGGGCAGTTGGTCAAAAAGAATTATAAAGTGCCAATCGAAGATAAGATGATGAGAGTCGTTGATGCAAATGGGAGATTAATCTTGAAGGATCATATGTCTCAGAATCGAACCTTCAAGATTGAACTAAATGTGATGGAGCACAAGTGCCTTTCGACTGCAGCTAGCAGAGATGAATGGATATGGCATTATAGACTAGGCCATCTCAACTTCAGAGACATCAGAGATTTGAAGAGAAGAAATATGGTTTTAGGATTGCCAGAAATTGACATTCCAAACGAGGTACGTGAGGAATGTGTGCAGGAGAAGCAACACAAGAATAACTTCAGCAAGGATGCAGGAAGCAGATCGAAGGCTAGTCTTGAAGTCATATACTCTGATGTATGTGGACCAATCCAGGTGGATTCGATGGGAGGTAACAAATACTTTGTTGCATTCATAGATGATTTCAGTCGAAAGTTATGGACTTACCTGATTAAGAAGAAAAGTGAAGTGATCGAAGTATTTACCAAGTTTAAGTCTATGATCAAAAGACAAAGTGGTTGAAAGCTCAAAGTTTTGAGAACTGATGGTGGTGGAGAATATGTGTCAAAAGACTTCGACAGATTATGTAAAAAGGAAGGGATTGTGTATGAGGTGGTGCCACCCTATACTCCACAACAAAATGGAATTGCAGAAAGGAAAAATCGAACTATCATGAATATGGTGAGAAGTATGTTGAAAGGCAAGAATTTACCTAAAGAATTTTGGGGTGAAGCTGTTTCGACTGCAACATACATTTTGAACAGATGTCCTACAAAGAAGCTAGAAGGAATTACTCTAGAAGAATGTTGGTCTGGTGTGAAGCCTAGCTTGAGTCACCTGAAGGTATTTGGATCTATAGCACATAGACATGTGCCAGATCAGTTGAGAAGAAAACTTGATGATAAGTCAAGTCAAATGATTCTAGTTGGATATCATTCGACATGAGGCTACAAGTTGTTCGATCCAGTGAAAAAGCAGATTGTGATCAGCAAGCACGTGATCATAGATGAGTTTAAAGAATGGGATTGGACTGATAATGTCAAGAAAGATTCAGTGGGAATCCTTCTTGAAGAGCCAGAAACTCAAGTCGAAAGAGAAGTTCGACAAGAGGAACCAGCAAATATACCAAGTACAAGCAGGCCTCAAAGAACAAGACGCATGCCTGCAAGATTGCAAGATTGTGTGATTACATCAGATGATGTAATAGATAATGAAGGTGAGCTGGTACATTATGCTTTCTATGCAGATGTTGAACCTGTTAATGCAGCTGAAGCATTAAAGTATTCAAAGTGGGTGAAAGCAATGAATGAAGAAGTAATGTCTATCGAAGACAACAACACTTGGTCACTTGTCGAATTGCCTCAAGGTAAGAAGGCAATTGATGTCAAGTGGGTATACAAAGTGAAAACGAATTCGAAAGGTGAATTAACTCGACACAAAGCAAGACTTGTGGTGAAAGGATTTCTACAGAAAGAAGGAATAGACTTCGATGAAGTTTTTGCACCTGTTGCTAGGATCGAAACAATCAGGTTGGTTGTTGGTCTAGCAGAAATAAACAGTTGGCACATATGTCAGATGGACGTGAAGTGTGCATTCCTAAATGGACCCTTAGATAAAGAAGTCTATGTTAAACAACCAGTTGGGTTTGTGAAACATGATGAAGAAAGAAAGGTGTACAAGCTACATAAAGCCCTGTATGGATTGAAACAAGCTCCAAGGGCTTGGAATAAGAAAATTGGTAGTTTTCTAAGGGAGAAGGAATTTGTGAAGTGCACAACTGAACATGGAGTATATGTAAGAAGAAGCAAGAGTAAATTGCTTATATTATGTCTCTATGTAGATGATTTGTTGATAATAGGTAGCTGTAAAAGTGAGATCGAAGACTTCAAAGGTGATCTCAGCAAAGAATTCGAAATGTCTGATTTGGGTGAGATTTCATATTTTCTTGGTATTGAATTCTACAAGAGCAGTAGAGGTTTGATGATGCATCAAAGAAGATATGTAGGAGAAATTCTCAAGAGGTTTGAGATGGAAGAATGCAACTCAACTTCGACACCTGCAGAACCCAGACTGCAACTGTCGAAAGATGCAGATGAAGATGATGTTGATCCAACCCAATACAGAAGACTTATTGGATCATTGAGATACCTTTGTCATACAAGACCTGACTTAGCATATAGTGTAGGTATGGTAAGTAGATTAATGCAGAAGCCAAAGGTATCACATATAGCAGCAGTGAAGAGGATACTGAGGTATCTCAGAGGAACTTTCGATTATGGCATTTTGTTTCCTGCAGTTGATAAAAGAAAAGAATGCAAGTTAATGGGATACACTGATTCGAGTTGGTGTAGTGATGCTGAAGATTGAAAGTCAACAGCAGGATATGTGTTTATGCTAGGTGGTGCACCAGTTGCTTGGAATTCAATAAAGGAACCAGTAGTGGCATTATCATCATGTGAATCAGAATACATAGCTGCTTATATTTGTGCATGTCAAGCAACTTGGATGGTGAACTTGGTCGAAGAGATAACAGGGGGAAAATCATGGAGCAATTACCATGAAGATCGACAGCATGTCAGCTATCAATCTGGAAAAGAACCCAATAGCACATGGTCGAAGTAAGCACATCGAAATGAGGTTCCATTATCTTCGAGAGCAGGTAGCAGATGGGAGGATGAATTTGGAACACTGCAGAACTGAGAATCAGATTGCAGACATCATGACGAAGGGAGTGCAAGTCGAAGTATTTAGAAAGCTAAGAGTCATGATGAACATAGATAGTTTAGACACAATGGATTAGGTGGTGTGTTAAATTGTAATCCAATGTGTCGAAACTATGTGTCGAAAAGATTTGATTTGTTTTAGATTTAAATAGATTTGATTTAAGTCTAGAATAAATTAGATTTGATTTAGTAACAAAAAGATATTTTGGGCTTTGGACTTAGGGTGTAAGCTCAGTTATAAATAGAGGGAGTAACCCCTATTTTTGTAAGTAAGTCAAGCAAGTTGTATTCACAGAATTTGCAGTTGCAAGTGAATAACAAAGTTTTCACAGTTTGTGAGCAGAGAGAAACTCTGCAGAAATTATTTGTCTTGTCTTTTTTTTTTGTCTCATAACTAATCGTCATTGTGGTAGAAATTCATCATAGTCTTTTGGTGGATTTCCAACAAGCCCTTCCATAACTAGTTTCCAATCGAACCAAAATTATCTGTTTGAAATATTTATGCACTATTATTTGGGGAAGAATATGCCAAGAGAAAAAACAATAAAAAGAGATATAAAATTACACACAATAAATGAAGTTGATGTTGAAGATAGATAGTTTGATTGAGTTCTAAATACTAAATTTCATGACAAAATATTTTAAGTTTTAGGAGGTTTAAGAAAGTGTGTTGATTAAGTTTTGAACCTAGTAATAATCATCAACATAAAAGAGTTGCATAACCAATATAATCATACTTACATACATTGGTCAATGTGTTTGATTCGTAAAATAATAAATAATAGACAAAATAATAATAAGATAATTTTATTTGTTCAATTGTATTTAATGATCAACGCACTAAATTATTTTTAACCTAACCATACTTTGTTCGATATGTTTATGCATTAAGCAGCATAATTTCATTATAATATATTTCATATGAGCTCGTCCCTTAATCAACTTTAAAAATCTCTATAAAAGACTATTTGTTGCTGTGATCACCTTCAAACATGTAATATATATATATATATATATATATATATATATATATATATATATATATATATATATATATATATATATATATATAAGATTTTTGAGTCTTCCCACTCTTATAAAGAAACACACGTTAAATTTTTTCTAAATCACACAAATTTGTCGGTATAATTAAAATTCTCTAAAAATGTTGATAAAATCTTGATCGTTAAAGAATCTTGAATAAATACACTGTCGAAAATTTTAACATATAACTAAATTTCTAATATATAATGATAAAAATTTGAGAATACCAGAGATTTAAAATAAACTACCTGAAATGAAATTGTCACATACCATAAATTTCATACGTCAAAAATTTTGTCATATAATATCAAAAATTACATTCATAAATTTTTTTCCAATTTCACTAAAGATATTTTTGAAATTATGAAAATTAGAGGTGCCGATAACACTTGAGGAAATGCCTCGAGTATTTGGATATTTGTAAAGTAAATAATTTGTTGTCCCAAGGATTAAGTTTAGGTCAACTGTTTTCAAGAATTTCATTATTAATTATTATTATTATTAATTATTATTATTATTATTATTATTATTATTATTATTATTATTATTATTATTATTATTATTATTATTATTATTATTATTATTATTATTAATTATTATTATTATTATTATTATTATTATTATTATTATTATTATTATTATTATTATTATTATTATTTTATTATTATTATTATTATTATTAATAATAAGATATTATTTCTTCTTTTTCAAGAATTTCAATGCTTTTAATTTTATAATTTATTGTTTTTTTGACTATTTCTCTTTTTTTTTTCCAGCTAGTTTGTTTTCCCTTTAAAATAATGAAAGTATATCTATCATGGAAGAAGACATGGAACTTCCTAGAACAAATGGTGGAATAACTTAATATCTATCTTAATAAATCATAATTTATTTATTCTAAAGAACTATATAATCATTCTAATCAAGATCAATTTCTACCTTAGCCATATCTTAAAATTCGAGTGGCAATATAAATATCATTCACACAATGTATACATGATTGGTAATGATGGATCTAAATTGTTTCCTCAAGTTTATATTGGTAATGATAATACTCCTCATAGGGTTTCTTGCTTGGCTAGAAAACAAAGTAACAAAATCAAATGAAGTAATGGAAGAGGTGATGCAAGTGAGTCATGAAATAAACATATTGTTTGAACAAGATGGTGATGAGAATGAATTTTGTGTTTGTTCCTTTTGTGGCAAATTAAGAAACATAATCACAAGATGCTCACGATGCAAAAATGCTATATATTGGTAAGTTTCAATATTTCATTACATTCCTCTTCATTAGTTTTTTTAATCCAGCCTCATTCAATTTATTGATGGAATTACAGACAATTTTTTTTTTTACTTTGATTTACTTTTTCATTTTTTCTATTTAACTTTATATGTGGTTGATTTCCTCAGTTCAAAGACATGTCATATCATGCATTGGAGATTTGGGCATAAAGATGAATGTGTTGAGATAGTTTCTGCAGAAGATCATGGAGTACAATGCTTTCTCTTGGAGCCTGAAAATGTAATTAAATATATATATATATATATATATATATATATATATATATATATATATATATATATATATATATATATATATATATATATATATATATATATATATATATATATATATATATATATATATATATATATATATATATATATATATATATATATATATATATATATATATATATATAATCTTAGTTTGAGTCCTTTGGTTATAAAATAATATATATATTTTCTAGTTGAAGCTTGCAATAAAAGTTTTTCAACTCCCTCAACAAAGTCAATGAACTTGTTTGTTGGCTTCAATGAAAATTATATACTGATAAAACAAAAATTCCATGTTGAATTTTCAAATAAGAGATTAGTCAAGTACCTTATGCAATGAAAAAACTAGGTCTTGTAGTTCAAACTAAAAAAAAAAAATAGCAAAGTTATAATTTTAAACTATTCTTTTGATTTGTTTAATAAAATATAACCAAGTAACTATTTAAATTGAATATTCTAATAATATTTATTTTTGTGAAAGAAGCTTTTAACATTAAAGATCATTTGAGAGTAGAAATATATTATTAAGAAAACTAAACATGGTTAACTAAAGAGTGTGAGTTTACTTTTATTTGAGATTAAATAATAAGTTGTTGATGTTGACCCATTCTATTATTCAAACGTGTTTGTGTGTGTGAGAAAGAAAGATAAAAAATTTAACATTGTTGATACAGGAAAGTTGTAAGTACTCATTGAAGGAAGAGGATGAGGGAGATGTTTACTATATTGAAGGAGGAGAAAATAGAGATGAGCCGATTAAAGAAACAGCAAGAAGAAAGTTTCAAGATGATGGATGTGCAGTTTGTGGCAATTCATGCTCCAAAAAATGCTCAAGATGTAAAACTATAAAATATTGGTAAGTTGTTTCATAATAATTAATTTGCTAACCTTGTGAAAAGTCAGTCCAACTAAACTTGTGAAGTCAATGTCATCTTTAGATGTTTTTTGTGACTTTTTGTTTGCAATTATTCCATTCCACTACTCAATACTTAATTATAACTTATATTATAACTATTAATAAAATCTTTTTGTTTTGCAGCTCACAAACATGCCAACATTTTGATTGGAAATCAGGACATAAACTCCAATGTCGTGTTAAGAAGAAAATTCCAACTCAAGAAACAACAAACAATCAAAAATGGCATGCCAGTGAAAATGTAATCATAAAAATGTTCAACAGTGAATATCTATCTTATAGAGTATTAAAAATGTTGAATAGCATTTTCTTTAATATATTTTGTTTTTCACAGGTTATAATGCCCCCAAATTTAAATGAAGTGAAAGATGATGATCATTCATATGATCCTCTTTGCTTGGAATTTTATTCAGGTCTCTTATACACAATTTAGTATTTATCACCTATACCTTTTGTATAATTTGCGAACCTAAATCATAATAATAATTATATTATGGTTGATGCAGAAGAAAACACTAACACCAAGGCTCTGATTCTAAGTTCTCAGGTATGATTAAACATAGGAACTGTAACTAAAGAAATATTTAGTTCTTGCTTTAACTTGTGTTGCCATGCAGGAAGCAAGCAACAAAGTCGATGAAGTTGAAGAACAATTGAGAAACCTAAAACAAGAATTAGAAATGATCAGGTATACAGTTATAATTCATTACATTGAATAGGCTCGTGGAGTTGTTGATATTTGTAACGATTAACAATGTAAAAATGTTTGATGGTTTTTTCAGAAGTGAAAATATATCACTGCAATCAAAGAATAACTATTGGGAAGTTAGAGCAAAATATTCTGCTGATAGACTTTACAGATTCAAGAAAGAAAATGAACATCAGGTAATTATTAGTTGCAAGAGATTTCAAAATTTAAAGGAGATTATGGACTATTCTAATTTTTCTTTGGTGTGCTTTTTCAGTTGTTTATTTTGAAGCATGAAAATGAATTGATATCAAATGCTGAGAAACAAGCTCGTCAATTGGTTACTAATTTATTTCAAAGGATACATTGTTTACAGGTTGAGACTACTTTCATTGCATCTCATTTCAAATGAGTGCCTTAATTAATACTAATCATGTAGGGTGGTAAACCATGCAGATCTCAGTTGAAACACAAGTGGCAGAAAGGAAAAAACAAGAAGAAATTATACATATGCTACAGGTATATAATTTACATGATTGCAACCTTGTCAATTTGAAGTATATAGTTTTTGAACACCTTTGATTGAAGGTGTGACCTTGCAAATACCAACACCTTTGATTGAAGGTGTGACCTTGCAAGTGTCCGATGCCACAGACATGACTCTGAAATATGCGGTTACTTGTTATGGGTGGCTATGTGTTAGTGTCATGTTTTGTGTCTGAATCGGCGTTTCATAGGTTTGAAGGCAAACTAGAGTGGAATTCTAAATTTCTTTGCCTTGAGTTACCACTCATTGATATTTGTTAATTTACAGAATGAATGTAATAAGGCTAAAAGAGAGTTTCAAGAGCAAAATAATTATGTTGAAAGGCTTAGACAGAAGCTCGATAATGTCAGTAAATTTCCTATGAAAATAGCTCAAGAGTCAGGGGAAAAAATAGCCATTACTTCCAATGTAATGTCAGCTGGTGAATCCAAAGTTCCTGCTGTTGAGGTATTTGTTTTTGTTTGTCAATTTCTTTACACCCCTTTCTTGGATTATCATTAGAATTTAAAAATTTACTAATAACTGAAACCATGCCTACTTTAGTTCATATTTGCATGTTTCTAAAATCAATTTCTTATGTTTAAATTCTATTTAGGTATCCAAGACAATCAGTTTAAGCAGAAATCCAACCTTGACTAGTCAGGTAATTTGACAAATTAAAGAGATTCAAATAGAGTGATTATGTTGTTGTGTATTAATTAAATATCTATTGCAGTGCTGTACAATTTGCTTAGGCAATGAGAAGGACATGGCCTTTGGTTGTGGGCACATGGTAAACTCCAAAAATCTTAAAACACATTTTTGTTACTTCATATATACATTCAATGATCATTAACAAACGATTCAAATGCAGACTTGCAGAGAATGTGGAACAAAAATTCGCAAGTGTCACATATGTAGAAAGAAGATTACCAATCGTATCAGATTGTTTCCTGGATGATTGCCACTTTCTAAGAATGCCATTATATATGTGCAAGTTATGCCACTGGTGAGCCTTAATGTGATCAAACCTTGACAATTACTTATTACAATAATTTGTCAAGATAAAAAAGTTACACATACTACTACCATATATACCTTATGTGATCACACGTATTCGAGTTTAATGTATCGATGTATGTAAATATGATTGTAAATTATGTTTGGGTACAGTTGTCGTATGAAAATTTATGTATATCTGAGCCAGACTGTTTCATAGAGCTTTTATCATTTCAACTGGTAAAGAAGTCGTGCAAGAGTACAAATTGTAAGAAAATAGAACCATAAAATTCCATATGTATCATTAGGAGGAAGAACTTCCTAATAATCAATAGATGCATGTGTTTGGCTCCTACACCAATATCACTTCCTTTCCTTTTCTATCCTATACCAAAACATCATCTATGTCCATGTCAACAATATCAGCCAAAATGGAAAAACAACATTTGCCTAATTATGCACAAGGAGCAAATATAAATCGACTGTTTTATTTCAGGCTAGTGCAAGTGCGACAGTGACACTCATAAATTCATCGTAAAAAAAACCAACAGTTCAGTAGAAAAGCATAAATCCTATAAGAAGTTTGTATTCCAAAGAGAACACTTGACCTTTTCTATGAAAAATTGACATAACCATGAGCACTTGATTTCCATCTAACTGTTCTTACTCCCTTTAAGAACAAGATTGCTTAAATAAATGCATTCAGGGATAAAACGAGATTAAAAATAAAAAGAAGAAAACAGCACCGTTCATTGTGAACTTAAAGAACAGATATTCACAATATCCAGAGAGATCAGCAAGTTAATCAATTTTTGTGGTCCTTGGCAGTTTGGTCTGGAATAGGTTGAATTCTGACATAAGGTTTTCTTGTAAGTGTTTCTCCTCTTAGAGCGGCAACATAGCGATCATTGGTATTCTCCTTTCGCTGCAGCTCTCCAAGGTATTCTGCCAGTCTCTCTTTATTCACTTGCCCCATCATCTGAAATGTAATTAAAGCAATAAGATTGTTAAGATAGAGGGTTTTCACCACAGCAAAGTGCAAAGGATACTGGGAGATTTGGACAGATATGTGAAAAGAGCTGAAATATCTCCATGGTCCCTATGTTAAATTCCCCAATCCCCCAATCTATACTTGTTCTAATCCCAAATACATATCAAAAGATATACTAAGCCCTTCAAAACCCTCAACCAAAAACACATCCTAATTATCTTTAGTGAATAAATTAACAATAATGAAAAATTAAAGAAAAAAAGGGTTTTTTGTTTAGACTTGCCAGTGATTCAGGGCGAGCCTTAGAACGGAGTTGTGATTCGAGTTGATCGCTGCGGGTATTGGTCACCTGCATCACACCGTACCCAATAACTCCCGGAACGACGCCGCATATGGTGGCGAATGCAAAGAAAAAGGGTTTCGATTCGCGAGTCCTTCGAACAATCCATTTCCACGCCATCACCATCGCGTTTCTTCTCACTTCAATCGCACAACACAAGTCGCATAAATATCGAAGCTCGTGGTTCAACCTCTTGAACCGGAAACGGGCCGGTTCATCCACTCATTGTATTAAAAAAAAAAAACTAGTTTATTAGTTGAATCAAAATGACTCAGTAAAATAGTTTTATACTATCGTTAAAGAGTCATTTCTTACTTTTTTTTTTTTTTTTCCTAATCCTAATCAAACATTTTTGAAATTTTAAAAATTAAACAAGGCTAAGATTACTCACACTCAGATATAATACATGTTTACTAACCAAATTAATTGTGTTTGTTTAATCAATTTCTCTATGATTAACTTGTTTATTAATTTGAACAGCATTATAGCAAAATGTGGATTGGATACTGAAAAAAAAAAATTGTGTTCATGGTTTAAACTCTACTAAATCTGCATAAATATGTATAAAGAGAGTGTTTATCCTGAAAATTGGTAAACAACGTATGTCTTTTGTTAAAGGTTGTTTTGTGAAATCGACTAGTGAATCTTAAGGCAGTGCTTCAATTTCAAAGTGTTTTTGAAATAAGACGTAATGGGTGATTTGGGTACAAGTGATTTCGACACAGCGTAAAATCTACTTGTTTTGTAAAATGATAAAGACGTTGGTAAAAAAGCTTGAAAGACAAAGTAAATTTGCAAGACTTAAATAAAATTAAGAGTACATTTGCTTGATATTCAAAATGGAGAAAAAAAGACTGGTGATTCAAACATACATTGCTCTTTCTTGACTCATTTCGCTCGCCACTTGGGTACTTTGAGTGTTTGTGTGAGTCTCGAATAAGTTTGAATCCCCTTACAGCTATTTACAATGTCTTATTTATAGTAAAAAAAATATAATTGCTTCTTTGGCAGGCTACTCTTCTCCAGGTGCCATGTGTTTTGCCAACTCTTCGTTCCTCTTTTGCACATTCCCACATTTTCAAGCCCACTAGAGAACAACCTTTTTCTTGCGTTCATTCTTCCCTAACTTCCTGCCACAAACTAATCCCCAAGTCGCTGTTGTGTCCCCTACCGACTTGATCCTCTTCTTTCTTTGACGATTATTTGAGGTCTAAACTACTGTTCGACCTCTCTCGCACACTCTTTATGTCATCTTCGATCACATAACTTTCCTTAGTTGGATTTTCCCTTTGTAAAAATCTTATCTAACAAATTGCCCCCCCCCCCCCCCCCCCCTCCAAAATGCCTCTTTCGACTGGTAATGAGAGATGGGCATTTTCGCCTTCTCATGTTCAACATCATGGGATGACGTCATGACATTTATCCGTTGTCATTGTCATAATGACATTCCTCTCAAAGGTCATGTCTGCAATTATGTAGCCACTATCTAGTATAGCTCCAAATTCCTAGGGTAGAACGTGGCCCACACTCAACAACTTCCTCGATCCACCTACATGTGTTTGCCACCTGTGCAACACATGGCTCCTGACGGTCCCACTTCTACCTTATGCCTTAAGAGTATAAATATTTCTAAAACTTTATTTCCATTTCTTTCTTTATGCTTACTCTCTTAAACCAAGCTTTATCTCTCCTTCTTCTCTACTCAGTTCAAAAACTTTCTTCCACTCATCCTTTAGACCAAACACAAAAAAGTAGATTTCGTGCATCTGGTCGCGAAGCTAGACTAACCTCTTACTATTAATAAGAAACAATCTGTCTTGGAACCATCATTGATGGAAGAAAAATTGTGCATTTTCCGTTCTCAGGTAATTCTTCCCTTTCTAGTTGGTGATGTTTCACATGCCCTTTTAGGACCAATCCTAGATTCCTCCAGAGACGTTCACCAAATAGCAGAGTTTTTTTTCTGCTTATCACCGTAACAAACCCAAAGTTAGCCTAGATCTTCCTATCGAATTTAGCCATCTCTATTGATCGCCTAAGGTTTTCCGTTCCACCCCTACTATTAATTTTGACTATATTTCTTGGCCAGGCAAAGTTGAAAAAGTAAAAGGTCAGTTCTGGAAGGACCAAGGGATCTCCATTTGATTCATTTGTCTAGGGTTAGTCCTACCTACTTCCCTTATCTTTTGATTTCTTTGCTCTACTTCTAGGATGGTTCGACTCACTTCTTCCATCTCAACTATGGGATGCTGACTCCTACTTTTTTCGATGTGGCGGACATCATTGGTCTTCTTCCAACTGGTGAATCTTTCAACCCGACTGACATCGATGAAAACAGCATCGACTTCGACAATGACTTTGTTGGATTCACTAAGTATATGGAGCATTACCATTACTAAACTGTTGACTCCGTCTCTGACACTGAACACATTGTTTTCTTGGGGTTATGGTTGTCGAAATTCATTTTCTGCTGTAGGTCTTTGAAGGTAGCCAAAAGATTTATCGCTTTGGCCAACCAGTTGCATGTAGGTCGCAACATCTGTTTGAGCGAACTCATCATGGGGTCTCTCTATGAATCCCTGGATGAAGGGGTTCTTCTCATGACCACCTTGAAGCCTACTACTAGCTACCTATTAGTTGGACCTTTTTGGTTGCTCCAACTCTGGTTGAATGCTACCTTCGCGCATGTCCTTAAACTTGACAAACCTGAAAAAGCATATCAAACTTGACAAATAGATAATACAAATTTTATATTAGAAATGAATAAATAAAATTAAATAGCCTAATTATTTAATTTTAAATATTAAATTTAAATTATTATTTGAATAAATAATAATTATAAATATGTGAAATTTGATTTATGCCACCTAAGTTATGACACATCATCACTTCACCTGCTATGTCATCAAAAATTATATCAAAATGTGATGGGGGACTGAAATCCTGAAAAAACCAAAATAGAGGGACCAAAATCCTTATTTTTAAAATGAAGGGACCAAAACTCAAAAAATATAAAAACGGAGGAACCAAAATTACAATTAAGCCTAAATTAAATAGGATTCATTTACACCACTAATTTGGATGACATGGATGTGGATGCTCTTAACATCATTCATGTATGGTCAGAACCTGGCCAACATATTAGTCAAAATAATTATGAAGTTTATGGCAGATGTATTTCATAAAATGGGCTCAAACAACTTGTAGATATTCTTGGTTTTACAATTAGTGAAGCTTCATTTTTGTTACTTAGATGTCTCAATTTTCAAAGTCAAACATATGACTTAAATCCTCCAATCCATTGAAGATACAGTTATAACTAGGCTAGCCTTATAAGGGACATCTATTATCTAAGATGGGAAGAATTCAACTTGTGAAATCTGTGATTCATGGAATTCTTCTCTATAGCCTAAGAATTTATGAATGGATAATCTCTTTTCTCAACAAACTTGACTTGGTCATTAAAAAATTTGTGTGGACATGTAGCATAAAGAATAGAAAAAAATGATTTTTATTGTTTGGAATGTTACTTGCTCTCCTATGTTTGCATATGCTTTTGGACTAAGAGACATCGAAACTATTAATATGGTTGGTTGTCTATTCTGCTAAAAATTATTGACTAATTCAAACT